ATGGAAAAAGCGGAAGAAGCAGCATCAGATGCTCTCTCTGTGTGTGTGCGGGGGGGGGGGGGCTGTTTTCTAATTTCTGGCAATGGGGAGGGGTCCGCTACTGCTCGTCGTTCTCAGAGATCGAGAGAGATTGGAGGGTCCGTTTTCGCTGGTTTTGTGTAGGGGGCGACGACTGGTGGGTCTCTGGTCGTTTGGGACCGTGGGAAGTTACAGAACGGGGGGGTTAAAGAAGAAGACGTGAAGGGGGGGGGGGTCATTTTTTCACTGTTGTGGCTGACTCCCCTGCGTATTTTCAGCTGATCCTTCATTTAGACTCTAGGGTTATTTTTATGTCTAGGTCTAGGGTTTTAGGTGGGGAAATGGGGCGGGTCAGAGGGTTATTTGGGTCAAGTCCGATTTTTTTCTTGGGCCGGGTAAGGAGATGGGCTAGTTTAAGTGAAGAAATGGGTATTGAAAGATTTGGGCTCACTCATTACATAGCCCAATCTCGAATTTAAGACCAAGCTTTGCAATTTTCTTTTCTTTTTGTTGTTCTTTTTTCTTTCTTTAATTAATTAAAACCTAAACTAAATTCCTAAATCAATTCAAATTGTAAAATTAAGCTAATTATCTAACTATAAAGTTTATAAAAATTAATTGATCCTAAATTTAAAGAGAAAAATTAATAATCCAAAATTTAAGGCTAAGAATATAAAAATGAGTCATTTTTTTGTTGTGATTTTCACTTTTTAATAAAGCAACTAACTAATTAATTAATCCTAAAATGTGAACAAAATCTAAATGCAATGCATGGTATTTTTTGATTTTTAATTGAAATTAAATATGCACAAAAATACAAATAATTAATAAAATTCTACAAAAAAATCCTATAAAATTGCAAAAGTTGGGAAAATTATTTCCTGATATTTTATGGGAGTAATTCATGTAGGGCAAATATTACGTGCTCACATGTTGAAACCCTCAAATCCCGACTCCGAGGTCGTTTACTCAAAATCAACCCTTAGTCGGTTTCTTCCAACTTTAAGCTTCCAAAATGAGAATTCTCTTTCCAAATCAACTCTGAACTTCCGAGATTCCAGTTTCGACCACGCGTACAAGTCATAATACCTTAAGTGGAGCTGTTCATGGCCTCAAACTGCCGAACGACGCGCTAGAGCTCAAACGACCGGTCGGGCCGTTATAAATAAATAGAGATCATCTTGAATATCTCATAGTCTCACGGGATACTCAAAAAGAGATTAAGATATGGCCGGATAATTCTTGATAATCAAATACTTCAAGAAGATTCACAACATACTTTCATGGATATCAGATACATCTAAGCAATTGCGCATTATCCTACATTCGAGAAACACACTGCTCCAGCCCTCGAATAATCATGAGAGAAGAATCAGGGGATACATAGAATTATACTCACGAATATTTATCAATAAAAATCTCTTTTTCCTTCATATTTTTATTGCAGTTTATTTTCGTACTGAGAAAATTTGTTGCAAACAATTGTATGTTAACATACGAACTAGGAATTTGCATAGCCGAAATTGACAATGCAATTTTAAAGTTCCATTAAACCTACACTTTTCTCGCAAGTTAGATATATAAACTATTATATATGCATCAATTTTGTTATGTCATTAACAGTGCAGTCCATGTTTTGACTATTTTTTTAAAAATTATTTACTCATTAATATAAGAATGCGCATGAGGTGCATACTCTAAGACTAGTATCTTAAAATGCATCTATCTTTAATATAAGGGATTATTTACTACAATGGTGGCATATTTCATAGGACTAGCTATCCCACATTCTATATGAGATAACTAATCCCACTATTTTAGTGTAAAATACATCCCCGAATTAGTTAATATCCCAAATCAAATATAGGATAATCCCAAATTTTATTCCGAAATTATTATCTTTATGTCATGTACCAAAATGACCCTAAGGGAAAAAAAACAACTTATCATAATCAAAAGTCAAACACCTCTTTCAGTAAATAAGTTGTGGTTCCATAGAAATAATAATAAGGGAAATTACCAGTTATGTCCATTTATAGGTAGCTCATTACAAAAATTGGCCAATTGATAAAATATTACTAATATTAGCCAAATTAGCCAATTAGCTATATCAAATCTTTGCTTTGTTTTGAGTGGGTGTTATTAGAATAGATTGGGCACAACTTAAGGAGCTTGAATCTCAGTTTTGGGATGATTTGGTGAAGTTTTGAGGTGGTTTGTATTGAAAATTCGAAGTAAAAGCTGAACATGAAAAAAATGATATGTGTATCACACTGAGTATCATTTGTGTATCACATATGTATCATATTTGTATCAATTGTGTATCATATGTATATCCATGTATACCTGTGTGTGAGATACATGCGTGATACATGTTTGATACATGTGTCGCAGAAGACTTTTTTGAACTCGATTTAATTATGAATTTTGATACAATACCACTCCAAATCACCTCCAATCTTCATCAAATTTTGTATATTGACTTATCTATATATTTTCAATGAATTTCAACTATACCCATTGAAAAAGTTCCTTTTTTGTTTAGATTTTTGGAATTTTTGTATAGATTTTTGTATTTCATCACCTTATTTGCTACCCCGTCCATGAAATTTCTTTTCCGTCTTGTATCTAATGTTGCTAATCACACTTAAAAATATGGAAGGTGATTTTTGCATGTGATTCTTTGAGAGAAAGAACCCTATTATTTGATTTTTCAATTTTTGTTGGATAGTTTTGGTAAGTCTATAACTAATGGCTAGAGGTTGGTAAGTTGACATTTATTTGGGACATTTGTGTAAGTTTCCCTAATAATAAAAGAAACCTAGAATAAGAAGGAGAAGACCAAAGATATTTTGGGCAAAGAGAAAAGGTGACGAATAAAATATCTAAAAAACCCCTTTATTGACGTGCCAACAAATTACTCTTCTGTTTAACGCAAAATATAGAAACTTCAGCCCACCAACTTACAGATATTTTAGTTGCGTCAAAATAGAGTTTTGTAGCCTAACAAGTAGCCAAAGTAAAATTTCTATTTTGTCTAGCCAAACTAGAGCACAATTATTAGTGCATGGAGTACAACAAAATTTAATGCGTACAACAAATTTAAGGCGTAATGGCTTCCTGGCCACTTAAACTTGTATCGATTTGTAAAGTCGATACATGAACTTATATTTTTCTCATTTGAACACTTCAACTTGACAGAATGAATACTAATAAATACATTTGACCATTGACCAAGCCTATGTGGAATTGGCACATCTGACATGGCTAAATTGTGTGCAAATCACGATGCCAAGGCGCGTGAATAGTTTTATTTTTATTAAAAAAATATTAGAAATAGAATAAAATATAAATAAGAAAGGAAAAAAAGAAAGAAAGAAAAAAAGACCTTTCTCTCTCCCCTTCTCTTTTTCGTTCCCCTCCCACCTCTCTCATCTTCCCAAGCAACTCCCCCATCTTGTAATTTTTTTTTAATTTCTATTCTACTTTCCCTCCCCTTCCCCATTTCTTTTTCCCTTTCTCTTCTCCATTCACTAAATGGATCCTGCACAAGGATGACAAGCACAAATCTAAAAATAGTCCAAATTATTATGCATTGACTTACTGAAAAAAGAAATGCAAGACCGGATATCCGATGCATTAGCATCATCATCATCTGGTTCTTCTTGGTCGTCACTGAGCTCTTCCAGATCGAACTGGAGTTGTTTTGGGGAAATCTACGGTTTGCGGGTGGGGCTTAGCGAAGAAGCCGTCAATACGAGGAGGGTGAGGTTTGGAATCAAAGTCGAGTAGTTATCGGGAGGGACTATCCCTGTCCCATTTCCTTTTTGTGAATCTCGTCGTCGGTTAAACACCAGAGAGAACTCAAATTGGGGGAGCGCGCCGTCGCCGTCGAAGTCAGAGAGCTGACGACCTTGTCCATCAGTATTCTGAAGCTATCATCCATTGCTACCTTGTGAATAGTGTGTATATAACACATTCGATATACACAGGCTGTTAAAGCAGAAAAGAGCAATAGGCTATATTGTTGTTTGGACGAAGCTTTCACATAGGAGGAAGAAGATGATGATGGTTGAAAATGGCTGAGGTCTGGAGTTGTTGGTGGACTATTGGCTAGTGTATGGTGGAGAAAAAAGAGAAAGAAAAAGAAATTAAAATTTTTAAAGTTTAATTATTTTTCTAATAATATAGGATCCACAAATCCACATGTCATATAATAAAGACCAAACATGTGATATGACATTCATGTTAGAGCGATTGGAGATCACGTTCAACAGAAAGTATTTATTATATTCATTCCGTCAAGTTGAAGTGTTCAAATGGAAAAAATATAAGTTCATATATCGTCTTTACAAACCGGTACAAGTTTAAGTAGCCAGAATCCGTTACGCCCAAATTTAATGCTTAGTTTGCTATGTCAGCAACAAAATTCTCTGGCAATATCACCACTCAACATGCGTTTGATAACATATATAGTAACTTCGATCTTGACAAAAGAAGAAAGTAAAAAAGGTTCAAATTTTATTTGAAAACATTATGTGTACTAATTATGTAATAAACTTTAAATTTTAATAGATATACACAAATTTAAGGATGTAGAAATACAAATTTATTTCTTGAAAACAATGGAACCGCAACTGAATTTATCCAATTATTTGCATATTTTTTCTTAACTATGAAATTATAAAAAAAAACACCAAATGATTATTTTCATCTCCATACTTCTTGTTATAGAGTAATCTAATATACCGAAGTAGTTGGAGATGTGGAAAATGTGTGTAAGCTGTCAGAGCAACATCAAATAGTTATAAGAATTATCAATTAAAATAAAACAAACATAAGATTAATTATTATTAACAGATAATAACATTTAATTGATAAAACTGATATGATACATTAATTTTATTTTGCAAATTCACAATATTTTCTTTTTCGTGTAATATTTTTTTTTCCTCATAATAGGATTTTGGTCCGGTCGGAGGAGCTATTTCTCCCTTTCCATACCATAAAAACCGTTTGCGGACACCGCTAAGCGATTCCTCTTACTTTCTCTCTCTACACGAACCAACGCAGGAAAAACAAAAAATAGTTGGATATTAAATTCTCTAAATTACCTTGAAATTGCTATTTCATACCATTTTCAACCTCTTTCTCTATTGGTTTATTTTTCTCTGGGTTAGTCGCCTTTGTCATCTTCTCCCTACATGATCTCTGGCTTTAAGTTGGACTTTTATAAATTTTTTATTGTGTGAATGGTGCGTGCTATTTTTGTACTTGTTATGTATCGGCATTGGCGTTGCAGCTTTGTAATTAGGGTTTTGAAGGGTAGAGTAATGTTAGCTGCTTAGGTTTTTTCATTTTTTGGTGCAAAAGGGACGAATTTTATGTCTCTCTGCGTTCACACACACACACACATGAAATATAGAGCTGAATGTAGTTAGAGATAATCTTTTCTTTATTAGGGTCGCATTTTGTCTATATCTTATGCAATTTAAATTGGCTATTTGGTGTTTTTCTTTTTTGTTTTTATCCTAATTTTATCGGGTTATGTACTGTTGAATTGGTTAAGCTTCTTTAAGTATGTAGATGCAGCTGACATATAAGTTGTGTTTCCTTTTTTGGTTTACCTTTTTTTTTTTTTTTTTTTTAACTAAGGTTGATTATAATGGCTTGTAGAAAGAGGGATTTGTGCTCTTCTAGTTAATTTGTTAGTAAAGAAGATTATTTTTGGGTTGTTGCACTGTTGAATTGCTAAATCTTCTGTAAGTGTGTTTAGGCAATGGTTTAGAAGTGGGTTGAAAGAGCTGCTTTGTCTTGTTTTATCTTAATTAGAGAAGAGAATTTTGGATCATGCTTTTTTGAATCGTTAGATTGGTAATTTGAGTATATCTCTATGCGATTTACTATCTTTGATCGGGTGGGCGTTAGTGCCTTTTTGCGTGTCTGGTTTCTGAAAAACTTGTTGATACCTATTTTGATTTCTTAACTGCTATTTGCACTCACAGATTACTGCAGTGAATTTTTGTGTGTGGGTATAAGGACAAATGATTGTTGAGATCTCTACTTTCTCTGAGTGTTGCTAGGTAAAACTGTTGATATGCTCCCGCAGTCATCAAAGTTCACCTGTCATGTATCCCAATTGCACCACTAACTCATCTTCCTCTTTGCAATCACCTGATCCCTGTAGGATCAAAGATGATGATGTTTCTCAGAGAATGGTTGCATGTGATATTTCAGGAACTGATGTCGCCACTGCTACTTTTGGCTCAATCAGCATAGCCGAGGTGTCTTTACAAAAGAAGAATGATAAAAGTAAAAAAGACTATAAAAGTTGTTGATGCTTTAGAAAGTAAATATCCAACAACAAGTGTATCGCCTGTCGGAGGAGGAGTGGATGCTAAGCTAAGTTAAGCCAGAATCAGGCTGCAACAAGAAGTGGCAGGAGAAGAACAGTTAAAAAAGCATCTCCAGATTTCAATTTCTTGCAAATTACAAGAAAATTAAGCTATTGCAGTAAGCACGCCCGTTCATCAATTTGGGGGTTGCTGGGAAATATGGTGCAAGCTGTTGAACACAACAGCACACTCGAGATAGCTCAAAGTGAGCACATAAAATCAAAAACAACAAAGAATGGTCAGGAAAATGAGAAGCAGGGTAAGAATCACACTGGTCAAAACTCGCGGAAATCAAAGGGAAAAATCTCCATTCCTACAGGCCCCATCACCTTGAAAGTTAAATTTGGTTCACGTTGCCTGATGGATGTTGTTCCTCTTATTGATGATCACGCTGACAAACAGTGCACTATGGGAAAAGAGTTCAAAGAATTGCCAAATGTTGCCAGGAGTTTTGATGATCAGCTGAAGGGAGAGTTGCCCAGTCGGCAGTTCGGCAGGTGCAATGGGAATTTGGATAATGTGTATGTTTCTGTATCAGACATATGCCAATCTGGAAAGAAGATCAGTCAAAATCCAGCGGACAAACTCTTGGACTTTCACAATGACTCATTTTCGGAGGAGGGGACATCAATTGATAACAGGTGCTCAGATGCTGGAACTTCACCTGACTCAGAAGTTATCAACCTGGTTCCGGATACTCAAATAAATGAGAGAGGCCGAGAAGAGTTGAATGATTTAATTATGCCTAAGCCATCTGTCGCTCCTGGTGATGTCCTGAGTTTGCGTGTGTATGGCAGGAGCAAGAAAGGAAGGAAAAAAGATAGTCTCCCAAAGTTAGCCAGTTCCGGTGTGAAAGATCTGCTTAGTCCAGATAGTATGAGCAGTTCTCAAATATTTGGGCAACTCATCCAAGGAGAAAAAGTACAAGAGGGATCTTGTTGTTCTGATACTTCTGCTCTGACACCAGGGCGGATTGGCTTAGGCAACATATCGAGCACTGAGATTGTTTCAGGAGAACTGTTACCTTGTTCAGGAGTGTCAGACTTAAGTATCTCCTGTGCTACTTCGATGTCTGAAAGTGGCATAGATGGTAATATTTGCTCTAGCCTTGGTACTGAATCACCAGAGACTGAGTTGTCTGAGAAAAAAGCATCCTCTCATGATGGACAAAATGTTCCCAAAGGTGAAAGATCAGATGTATTTGGCAAAGGCCGGTCACAAGTCCCGAACCCGAAATCATCCAAAAGTAGAGGAAGTGCTTCTAAAAAGAAGGGAAACAAAGAAAAACAAGATAATAAGCTTGAAGTGAAACATGAGAGTTACCATGTCACAAGTTTATGTGAGGTGAAACACCACCAAGAAACAGGTATGGTTAAGATAATGGAAATATGATATTAATTTTATGAGTTCAATATCGTTGGGCTGACCTTCATGCAAAAGTAGTATACTAGTATTAAATGACCATATTAAATTAATGTCTTAGAAAACGAAGCACCATACGGGTTTGGAGAAGTTGGATCGAGATATAAAACCTTAAATGGAGGCATTTCAGACTTGGACATTACACGGGGTGTGGTGAGTCAGCCTCATTTACAACCAAGAAATGCCTGGGTACAGTGTGATGATTGCCTGAAGTGGAGGCGTATAGCTTCCGAACTTGCTGATCAAATTGATGAAACAAACTGCAAATGGTATGTGGTTGCTCGTCCTCCTCGTTATGAATGTGCTGATATTCCGCTTTTCCTATTAGTTTTCTGCTGTGTCTCTTTGAAGTTTGATGCTGTAAGAAGACTTTTTTCCTGTTACTTTGAGAACTAACTAAGCAATTTTTTATTGGTAAATTGCACTAGCTCATACTTGCATCCCTGAATATGGTGTTGCTTGGGTTAGAAAGCTAATAAAACATGATCCTTGACCCTTCAGTTATCGAGAAAGAAAAGAAGAAGATGAAAAGTGATTTTATAAGTTTTTCCCTTCTTGGAGTCCATAATTTAATCATCAGCTTCTGTTTATCATGACCAGCATGCAGACCTTTGATGCTTATTGCTATGGGTGATTCTATATTGAATTATTGAGTGAAATTTAATTACATGCTTCCTTTCCTACCCGATCCAATTGGAAATAAGCCCTTTTTCTGTAGGTATTTGTGTCTAATCACTGATCTATTTAGTTAAACTTTGCAAAAGAAGAGTCACATAATGACTTGGGGAGCCTAAGTTAGATCCCAGCGTCAAAAGTTGGTTTGAGCCCATTTCCTCTAGCCTTAGTTGGCAGGATTACCTTGGCAACTTGTGCTTTGGCTGGAATGCTGATTGGTTAAGGTGTATGTAAGCTAGCCGGACACCATTAATGTGAAAAAAAAGCAAAAAAGAAGAAGAATAAGAAGGGGTTGCATTCATTTACCAACTATATTTACTACCTTACCAAAAAAACCATCTACCAACTTTATTGACAAACATATTACTCCCTTGTCTCAATTTATATGGCATTCTTTCCTTTTATTCTGTCCCGAAACAATGTCATACTTCCTTATTTAGAAACAATTTTTACTTTAAATTTCCCATTTTACCCTTAATGAAATAATTTAGTCACACAAATGTCTATGACTTGATGCAGACCACAAGTTTCAAAAGTCTATCTTTCTTATACTTTGTGCCCAGTCAAACACCGCCACATAAATTGGGGCAGAGGGAGTAATATTTCTCTTTCAAGATTTTTAGCTACTACCTGATATAGTATTATCATATTATAGCAGAAAATTATATATTGTTTTTGCGTATAGATCGTCTCGTGCAAACTGAAGTTCACCTATTAAAAGAATGCATACTAGATAGCTATCGGGTCTACAATTGTGGTTTTATGGAATATAATGGTCTTCTGCGACTAATCTGTTCTTACTGCAATGTTGAAATATTTGAGGTTTGCTAATGGATCTGCAAACTACTGTGGTTTTGCAAATGTGATGTTTGTTTTTTCCCAAGAGTTTGTTGCTTATATGTATCCCCTGTAACATTAAAGGACTTGTAAGGATAACTTGGATAGAAACTTTGCTGATTGCTCGATTGCACAAGAAAAATCAAATTCAGAAATTAATGCTGAGCTGGAAATATCGGATGCCTCTGGCGAGGAAGATGCCCTCAGTAGACGCTTGAATTCAAATCAATCAGGACAGAAGAAGGCACTTGGTATTTAATGATTGTAGTATTGCAATGGCGCTGGTGTTGACTATGAGTAAATTTTCATTGAAGACATTTGTGCTAATTATCTTCCTTGCATGTCTGCGTTGCAGTTTCCCATCAATCATCTTGGACTCTGATCAGGAGAAACTTATTCCTGCATCGTAGCCGCAAAAGTCAAACTATTGATGAGGTGAATGGTTGATCCACTCTGCATTATTACCTCATACACTCTTGGCCTGCATCTTGAATAAAAAACAACAGGAAAATAAAGGCCCATGTTGCAGTGGTCTTGGAGCAGACTAGTCTCTAAATATAAAAATTCATCAGGAAAGAGTAAATGTAAAGCTGGCTTTACCCTAACATGCACCAAATAATTAACCTACCACTTTTTCTCTGAGGGAGGCTTGTCTTAAAAACAAAAGCTATTTTCAGCAGAGTTGCTTCACTCTTAGTAGAGTTGCTTCATTGTCACTGTTGTTGTCCATTTCACAAATTAGAAACATTTCCCTCTTCTCCAGGCGTGGCAAGATGGTTAGATGTTGAAATAAGAATAATAATTAGGGAGTCATGTGTTTGAAAACATATAGTTATGTGTATTAGGAAGGGGAGCCTTGGCGTAACTGGTAAAGTTGCTGCCATGTGACCAGGAGGTCACAGGTTCAAGCCGTGGAAATAACCTCTTGCAGAAATGCAGGGTAAGGTTGCGTATAATAGACCCTTGTGGTCCGGCCCTTCCCCTTATTGTTAACTTGCTTGATTTATAACTTTCTGCTTGCTTTGGAATTCTCCGGCCTTTGGAGTTGGCTATTCCTTGAGATTAGCTGTAGAATGTTGCTTCCTACATTACATAACTCTTATCAATCTTCTCCTTTAGCATTGTCGAAGTCTTCTTGAAAAATATTTGGTCAAATGTAACTCTAAACTACCAAAATCATTTCTATTTTGTCTCTTATATGCTCCTTTCGGCATTCTCTATCTGTTTTTCCTTGATGTTGTCTTAGCTTTAAGCATACTTTTGGCTTGAAAAGCTGTTTTAGGTACTTAATTTGAAAGAATTTTGTTTGTGTCTACTCTATGGTTCCCTAAAATAATGACCTGGTTAGTGGGGTGCCACAATGTTTACGAAATCTTTCAAGCCGACAAATTTAACCCTGGATGTAGACATTACTTGTGTGAACTAGTTCACTTTAAGAATATTGCATGTTGACAAGGGGACTGGTGATTCTGGGTGTCCCTTCAATGATGTCATCAAAAGGCAGTCTTCGATATTATCAGTATCCTTAAGTTGAATGCTAAAATGCATCAAAAATAATAGAGCAGTAATTTACTTCTAAACAAAAGCAACTTCGATTCACACTCAGGATGTAAGAGTTATATAGTAGGTGCCCAAAAGAAAAGGACCGCAATCCCTGAGTTAATTTCTCCTTAGCAACACTCTTTTCTGGGTTGAGCTTTCCAACAAAAAGGTGTTTTGTACTCTTTCAGTATTAACTGTGGTTTACTTGCATTTTCAAACTTATTATCTAGCAGGAGGGAAGCAGGACTTCTGAGAATTGTGTTAGCAAGTTTGAGTTTGTAAAGATAGAAGTTTTAAGGGTTTGTAAAGATTCTTTAGTGATTTCTGCAGCACCAAATCATTTGTTTATACTATTGCAGCTGAAAAATAAGAATTTTTAGTTGTCAATACAGAGGCGAAATACTTGACTGACATTTTATAGGCCTTTCGTGACCATTTTTAATCTGAATCAAAAGTATATGATGCGCGACATTGTCATAGTTTGTCCTGCTCCTGAGGTAACATATTTGTACACGTCATAAGGAATCTTTAGCTTCTAACATCCCTACCTATCTGTATTTCTTTGCATACAGACAAATTTATGAATATGTTCGGAGTTGCTTCCTTCTCTATCTTCTATAGCTTCCCCTGTTATTCCTTTTCTATTAGATCATGGTCTGCCATTGCAACCCTCCTTCACATGGCCGAATGGGCTGCAGAGATGGATGCCTGAATCGGATGCTCAACGTTGAGTGTGTTCGAGGGTCTTGTCCATGTGGAGAGCGCTGTTCGAATCAGCAGGTTCTTAAACTTGCATGGCATTCAAGTTTACTGTATATTGCTTATATTATGCAGGTTGTGTAACCTCCATTTATGTCTGCTTACAGTTCCAGAAGCGTAAGTATGCTAAATTGAAGTGCTTCAAATGTGGAAAGAAGGGTTATGGCCTGCAACTGCTTGAGGATGTTTCCGAAGGGCAGTTTCTTATAGAATATGTTGGGGAGGTGAGTCTGCTATTCACAATATTTGACCATCTGTGCGAGGTAAAGATGGAAAAGGAGATATAAGACATTTGTTTCTCCCACACTAGTCTTAACGAGGTTATCCTATAATCACTTCTTTTATCTCTATAATTTTGTCCTAGTCTTGGGTTTGCAATGGTTCTCTTCCTGTCATGTTTTATTATCCTACAATATAATTGTTTTGTCAATCTCTCTAACCTTTTCGCCTGTTGTCACGACCAGAATTTCCCACCGTCGGGATCGTGATGACGCCTAACATTGAACCTGCTAGGCAAGCCAACGTTACTGATCACTTTACCCTTTTTACTTTATCCTTTAACAATTTACGAGTTATCATAAGAAAATCAGCGGAAAACAAAATTTAACAGATTATCTTAATACAAATACGAATCCGTAATAAAACTACACCCAGAACTGGTATCACAATTTCACGAACTGTCTACGAATGCTACAAATAGTGGTCTGAACAAAGAAGTACAAATCTGTCTCGGAAATAGATAAAACAGAAAAGAAGCAGGATAGAAAGGGACGCTAAGGTCTGCGGACGCCTGCAGGACTACCTCGGGTCTCCACTGGACTGAAGGCAGCAACCTCGAACTACGGTCCGTATGGTTTAGTATCGGGATCTGCACAAAAGTGCAGAGTGTAGCATTAGTACAATCGACCCCATGTACTGGTAAGTGCCGAGCCTAACCTCGCGAAGTAGTGACGAGGTTACGACACGACCAACATCATAAATCTGTGCAGTTAACAATATCTAACAGAATAACAATAATAGAAGCTATCATAAATTTACAGGAAGGGGCAACATGCTATGGGGATACCAGAATAAGGAAACACAGAAATAACGGAAACGAAACAATTAAGGCACTTGAACCGATAACAGCAAATAATCACAACAACAGAAAACAAATGCACGGCATCACCCTTCGTGCTTTTACTCTCAATCCTCACCGTGCAATCAATAATGGAAATGTGCACGGCATCACCCTTCGTGCTTTATCACTCTTCCTCACCATGTGAATAATAGGAATGTGCATGGCATCACCCTTCGTGCTTTATCTCTCTTCCTCACCATGTGCATCAATATAAATGTATATGTGCAAGCCATCACTCTTCGTGCTTTATCACTCTTTCCTCACCATATGCATAAGTATGAATGTGCACGGCATTACCCTTCGTGCTTTATCACTCTTTCCTCACCCAAACAGTAGAAACAATAACATCCCGGCAAGGGAATCAACAATGGAAGCAAATATATCCCGGCAAGGGAATCAACTATAACCAATCTCGTTCCAACAGTTATCTTCACAAAATGAATCTCAACTTGAACCAATACCCAACAATGGTCAAAAACCAAGAAAATATCATAAGTCTTGTTCAACCGGGATAACCTTCAATTGAAGCATGGATAGTACATAATAAGAATCACAACAGTCACAATATAAGACTCACGGGCATGCTTGACACCAACGTATAGATACTCGTCACCACACCTATACGTCGTACACAACACTAACACGTAGCAAATAAGACACAACACCTATTCCCTCAAGCTAAGGTTAGCAAACACTTACCTCGATTTCGCGGCCTAAAATCAAGCCTCAAATACCGCTTTCCCTCTAGATTTCACCTCTAATTCACTTGTATCTAGTCATAATTAACTTAACAACATCAATAAATGCTAAAGAACTCAAACCCAATGCCTAATTATAGTTTTCCCAACATTTTCCCAAAAAAGTCAAAATCGACCCAGGCCCGCTTGGTCAAAACCCGAGGTTCGGACCAAAACCCGATTACCCATTCACCCCCTAGCCGGATATGCAATTAATTTTGGAATCCGACCTCAATTTGAGGTCTAATCCCCAAATTTCGAAATTCCCAAATTTCACCCAAAAACACCCAATTTCTCATGAAAATTCCTAGATTTTGTGATGAAATCTTGTTAAAAGATGAAGTAGATTGAAAGAAATGAGTTAGAAATTGTTTACCTATGATTTGGGGAAGAACTTTGTAAAATCGCCTATGGGAGCTTAGGGTTTGAAAATTTGAAAGAATGAATTGAAATCCCGTCCAGAACTCTTTTTGAACAGTCACAGTTATCGCATTTGCGATCAGGGGTTCGCAATTGCGAGCCCCGCAAATGCGAACATTACATTGCAATTGCGAAGAATGCTCAGGCCTGCTATTATCGCAAATGCGAACATTTGTTCGCAATTGCGACCTGTTCTTATCGCAAATGCGATGATGAACTTCGCAATTGCGAAGGTCCCCTGCCCAGCCTTTTTATCGCAAATGCGAAGGGTCTTCGCAAATGCGAGGCAATTATCGCATTTGCGAGCCAGGCTTCGCAATTGCGAAGCCTGCAGACGGGCAGCACACCAACAGTTTTTCTCAAGTTCAAAACACTCCGTGGCCTATCCAAAACTCACCCGAGCCCTCGGGGCTCCAAACCAAATATGCACACAAGTCTAAAAACATCATATGGACTTGCTCGTGCGATCAAATCGCCAAAATAACATCTTAAACAACGAATTTAGCATCAAAATCAATGAAATTCTCAAGAACACCTAAAGTTACTATTTTGCACAATTGAGGGTCCGATTTATGTCAAATAAACTCCGATTCGTACCAAATTCACAGATTCGACTTACACATTATTTTAAAACTGTACCGGGCTCCGGAACCAAAATATGGCCCGATATCATCAAGAACACACACCATTTCATTTCCAAAAGTCTTTATATTTTCCAGCAAACATTTTCTTTAAAAATTCTTTTCTCGGGCTAGGGACCTCGTAATTCGATTCCGGGCATACGCCCGAGTCCCATATTTCCCTACGGACCCTCCGGGACCATCAAATCACGGGTCCGGGTTCGTTTACCCAAAATGTTGACCGAAGTCAACTTAATTCAATTTTTAAAGGCAAAGTTTAGCATTTTCTCAATTTTTGACATATAGACTTTCCGGAAGCGCGCCCGGACTGCGCACGCAAATCGAAGAGAATGAAAATGAGGTCTTGAAGGCCTCGGAACCCCGGATTGGGTTCTAAAACACGAGATGACCTTTTGCGTCATCACACCTGTTCAGTTAGTCTCTTCTAGATACACGATATTATCTCTTCCTCTTTAGAGTATCTACTAGCGTTCACTTTCCTGTGAACGAGCATATATATTCCAACTACCTATCTGAGTTCCAACTCTATTGGACTAGCTTCTTTACCCTCTTACCCTCATCCGTCCATGATGCGGAAGCCTTTTATGTCTTATAACAATTTGCAAATCCGAGTGTCAATGTGGTCGGATTGACTTCTCACTCTCACTGTCTCCGTGATGTGGAGACAATCAACTCATACTCCCGCACACCCAGATGTTGTAATGGAACTCTATGCCCATTTTGCAGCACACCATGGTATTGCTGTAGTGTGCACTCCTAGGACAGGGCATCCTGACGCATTCATTATTATGGCAATTCCTCATAACTTGCCTTTTTTAAAGTTGGCAATCGACCAACCGCACCTTTATATGGTGTTGCCTCTTGGTGCTAGAGATGCAAAGCTAATAGGTTGTGAATTTCACATAGCCGAATTTACTCGTAATATAGTATTAAAAAGTAGGATTGGAAGAGGATACCAACCTGTTGGCTACCATCCATCTATGTTTTGGCAGGATAGCAATTTGATAATTCTTTTGACTTCTATATGTTGCCTGTTCATCTGTTTGTGACAGGTAGCGCAGTTTCCCATTGCATATTTTTTATATAACAGGTGTAATTATAACTTTTCTAGGTCCTGGATCTGCATGCGCACGAGGCAAGACAAAAGGAGTATGCCCTGAAGGGTCATAAGCATTTTTACTTTATGACACTTAATGGCAGTGAGGTATTACTGTTTGCCTTGGTTCTTTTTTTTTTTTGTGTGTGTGGGTTTGGGGGGGGGGGGGGGTTCAGATGAAGTTATGAATTGTCTTAATTGGGTACATATCCTGTTATCCAGTCGTCTATACTTTGTGACATTCTCTGTATGTACTAACTTAATCTTGCTATCACTTTCCAGTGACTAGTGTAGATTTGTAAAGACTGATAATTGTGGCATTTTAATTGTTCAGTTTTCTCTCACCTAAATCACCTTATTGTGTAATGTTCTTTTCATGCCTTACATTTCAGGTTATAGATGCGTGTGCTAAAGGGAATTTGGGCCGTTTCATTAACCATAGTTGTGATCCTAATTGCCGTACAGAAAAGGTGATTGCAGTTTCAACTGCACTCTACACTTCGTCCAAAATTTTGCTTTCATGTTCTATTCAGTTTTCGTGAAGTACGGCAATCTCTTCTAAAAAGGTTTTGTGTGAAAACCAGAAATTCCTTTCCCTCTATTGGCCCTTCTGCTGCCTCATTTTGTGTATAGTTACCGTGATTGGACATGTATTGTTTGTATAGGAGATTAATATTGTTTGTAAAGCTGAATGGTTTCATTGCGAAAAAAGTGCTGCAATATGCAAAAAAGGAATTTTTTTTTGTGCTAATGCATTTGGATTACATGATTTCAACTATGTCTATCTCGTGACATGTGCACTTTCAAGGCACATATTTTTACTTATATGAGATGCATTTTAGAATGAAATCGTCATTTATATGGTAGTGTTCTTTTTCCTTTAGAACTATGTTTAATAGGTTAAACATGTGGGTGTATTCTTAAAGTGTATCACCAGAGAATACAACCACTTCTATGCAAGTCACAAGCTCAAATAGTGAAATACAGAAAAATATGCAGAGAACTGTAAAAAATACCTTGAATGTTCTTTCAGAATTGTGCTAGTCCTGATAGGAGTTCTGCTTCTCCAAGCGAGCAGAATGCGGAAGAAGTCAAACATCACGTAGGATTTAATAAGAGCAAAGATCTACTTGCCATGAAATGCCTCCATCTTCTTCCCATCGGTTGTACCAAAATAGTCTTCCTGTAACAGCACATCGCCACACTGTAAGCGGGTCCTAAGAGAAAATTGGATATTTTTCACCTGTGAAAATTTATCCATCCTCTTTTCTTTATTTTGACTTATATGTTCTGCTTATTACTGTGCGACACCGAAACCATCATCATACACTTCTATAGTTCTACTTTAATGCTCGAGCAAATTAGCAACATGATACTATTTTTTTCTAAAATATTCTGAAGTTTGCAGAGTTATTCATTGAAAGTAAACTTCTAGAGAAGTTTAAGTGCAGAACTGACAGGTTTAAATACCAAAAAATTGGATATAATATTACCATATATTTATTCTGATAAGGTACTATTCTAGTATCTGATGTACCTCTAATGAATTATGCTTCTAAATCAGTGCAGCTTAATTGATATTAATCATCAGTGATCTAATTCAGGAGTATTGCTTTGCTTACTCAGTCTACACATAAGTATAGCTGGTCACTTCGTATTGGCTATGGAATGGCTAATTATTGAAACTAGGACTGTCATTGGCTGCTAACTGTAAAACAACGATAGGAATAGAGCTTTCTTATTAACATTTTCTATCTATTAGACTTGTATTACAAAAAAAACTAAGATTATTATTTTACCTTGTTGGTTGGTCTCTCAACTATCTGTAATTGACTACAGCCAATTTTGTGTTTGCAATTTCATCCTATTTTCTATCACTGGTGATAAGTAAATAAGTGCGTCTAAAGACAACAACAACATATGAATTAGATCTTTCGCTAATTGCATGAAGATCAGTCCAGCTCCGTCCCCCTCCACCCTCCCCCTGCTCTTAATGTCTTCAGCAGAAATGCTTGATATGTTTTTAAAGCTTGTTCTCTGTACACATTAACATAGATTGAGTACTGTTGTGACTCAACTTTCTTTCGCTTGCTGAGACAGTGGATGGTCAATGGAGAGGTTTGCATTGGACTCTTTGCTTTAAGGGATATCAAGAAGGTAAAGTGTCTCGTTCTGATTGTGATTTTGCTTCAACTGTTTTACAATTTACAGGATGGTTGTCGCTTTTTCCTAGTTAGTGAAGTAGAAAAATGGATTCTTCTCATGTCTTACTAGACATTCCAGTTATATGTAAGGGCAACAAATACATAAGGAGTAGTTCCGAGATCTTTAACACCTAAGCTGGGGAATTTGCATTATGGTCCCGGTGGTAGTTGTGAGAAAGCACGGGAGAAAATATATTATTGACTAATATTGACAATGATACAATGAGCCCTATATATACAATACATGTCCTACTCCTAATACATATGGGATTAGGGTTATTTACTACTATTTAGACAATGAAACTAACGCTCACCCTCAAGCTGGTGCATATAAATCATATGTACCGAGCTTGTTACATATATAACTAATACGAGGACCAGTGAGGGACTTTGTGAAAATATCAGCAAGCTGATCATTCGACTTTACAAATTTTGTAGCAATATCTCCCGAAAGTATCTTTTCTCTAACAAAGTGACAGTGAATCTCGATGTGTTTAGTTCTCTCATGGAACACTGGATTTGACGCAATATGAAGAGCAGCTTGATTATCACACACAAGTCCCATCTGACTAATCTCACCAAATTTCAACCCCTTGAGCAACTGTTTGATCCAAATTAGCTCACACGTGGCCATAGCCATTGCTCGATATTCTGCTTCTGCACTAGACCGAGCAACCACATTCTGTTTCTTGCTCTTCCAAGACACCAAATTTCCTCCTACTAAGACACAATATCCAGACGTAGAACGTCTATCAGAAGGTGATCCTGCCCAATCAGCATCTGAGTATCCAACGATCTGCTCATGGCCTCGATCTTCAAACAATAAGCCTCTGCCTGGAGCTAATTTTATATACCGAAGAGTGCGGACAACTGCATCCCAATGACTATCACAGGGAGAATCCATAAACTGACTCACAACACTCACAGAAAAGGAAATGTCAGGTCTAGTCACTGTGAGGTAATTTAATTTACCAACCAACCGCCTATATCTTGCAGGATCGCTAAGAGGCTCCCCCTGTCCTGGCAGAAGTTTAGAATTCGGATCCATCGGAGTGTCAACAGGTCTACAACCTGTCATTGTCATTCCTGTCTCCTCAAGAATATCTAAGGCATACTTCCGTTGTGAGATCACAATACCTGAGCTAGACTGAGCGACCTCAATACCCAGAAAATACTTTAATCTGCCCATATCCTTAGTCTGAAAGTGCTGAAAGAGATGTTGCTTCAACTTACTAATACCATCATGATCATTGACCATAATAACAATATCGTCAACATAAACGACCAGATAAATACAGAGATTTGAAGCAGAATGTCGATAAAATACAGAGTGATCAGCTTCACTATGAGTCATGCCAAACTCCCGAATAACTGTGCTGAACTTACCAAACCAGGCTCGAGGAGACTGCTTTAGACCATAGAGGGACCGGCGCAACCGACATACAAGGCCACTACACTCCCCCTGAGCAACAAAACCAGGTGGTTGCTCCATATAAACCTCATCTTCAAGGTCACCGTGAAGAAAAGCATTCTTAATGTCCAACTGATAGAGAGGCCAATGGCGAACAGCAGCCATGGATAGAAAAAGGCGGACTGATGCAATTTTAGCCACGGGAGAGAAAGTACCACTGTAATCGAGTCCAAATATCCTTTGGCAGCAAGACGAGCCTTAAGTCGATCAACCTGGCCATCTGGACCAACTTTGACTGCATACACCCAACGACAACCAACAGTCGATTTACCCGAAGGAAGAGGAACAAGCTCCCAAGTACCACTCGTATGTAAAGCAGACATCTCGTCAATCATTGCCTGTCGCCATCCGGGATGAGACAGTGCTTCACCTGTAGACTTAGGGATGGAAACAAAGGACAAAGATGACACAAATGCACAATGGGATAATGAGAGACGATGGTAACTTAAACCGATATAATGAGGATTAGGATTAACTGTGGACCGTATACCTTTTCGTAGTGCAATCGGTTGATTAAGAGGAGACAAGTCCGCAGTATTAGCAGGGTCAGGTGCAGGACGTGAATCAGCTGGGCCTGATGCTGGGGGCGGACGACGATGATAAGTCAGGAGTGGTGGAGCTGTAGAAGGTTGAACTGGACTAGGTGGTGGCACTGGAGCTATAGTTGGTGGAACTGGACTAGGTGGTGGCACTGGAGCTATAGTTGGTGGAACTGGACTAGGTGGTGGCACTGGACTCGGTGGTGATACTGGAGCTATAGGTGGTGGAGCTGTAACTGGAACTGTAGGCGGTGGAGCTATGGAGGAAGATGAATGGGAGATAGGGACTGAATCTCCAAAAGAAGGAACAGGTAGCACCTCAGAAATATCTAAGTGATTAACTGGACCTGTGAAGTATGATTGGGTTTCAAAGAAGGTAACATCAGCAGACATAAGAAATCGCTGAAGGTCAGGAGAATAACATCGATATCCCTTTTGCGTTCTCGAGTAACCCAGAAATATGCACTTAAGAGCACGAGGAGCTAACTTATCTTTTCCTGGAGTAAGGTCATGAACAAAGCACGTACTCCCAAAGACACGGGGTGGAAGAGAGAACAAAGGTAAGTGGGGAAACAGGACAGAGAATGGAACTTGATTTTGGATAGCTGAAGATGGCATACGATTAATAAGATAACAAGATGTAAGAACTGCATCCCCCCAAAAACGCAGCGGAACATGAGATTGTATGAGTAGGGTACGAGCAGTTTCAATAAGATGTCTATTCTTTCTTTCAGCTACCCCATTTTGTTGGGATGTGTACGGACAAGATGTTTGATGAATAATCCCATGGGAGTTCATAAACTGCTGAAATGGGGAAGACAAATACTCTAGGGCATTATCACTACGAAATGTGCGGATAGAAACCCCAAATTGATTTTGAATTTCAGCATGGAAGGTCTGGAAAATAGAAAACAACTCAGATCGATTTTTCATCAAAAATATCCAAGTGCACCTGGAATAATCATCAATGAAACTGACAAAGTAGCGGAATCCTAAGGTAGAGCTAACCCGACTAGGACCCCAAACATCTGAATGGACTAAAGTAAAAGGTGACTCTGCTCGATTGTCAAGACACCGCGGGAAACGGGAGCGGGTATGCTTACCGAGCTGACACGACTCACACTCTAGAGTGGACAAGTGAGATAAGCCAGGCACCATTTTCTGAAGTTTTGACAAACTGGGATGTCCTAACCGTTTATGTAATAAATCTGGTGAATCAGTAACGGGAGAAGTTATTGGAGGAAGACAAGATGTGAGTCCATGTGATTTTGCAAGGATAAGGTAATAAAGTCCATCTGATTCACGTCCGGTACCAATGATCCGCCCTGTACTGCGTTCCTATATAAAAATAAGGTCATCAAGAAATAAAACAGCAGATTTAAGTGATTTGGCTAAGCGACTAACGGCTATGAGATTAAAAGGACTGCCAGGAACATAAAGAACTGAGTCTAAAGGTAAGGAAGGAAGTGGACTTGCTTGACCTATTGCAGTTGCCATGGCTTGAGACCCATTGGCCATTGTGACTGTTGGAAGAGATTGAGAATATGAGATACTAGTGAAAAGAGATTTGTTACCAGAAATATGATCAGATGCACTTGAATCAATGACCCAAGACTCAGAAGGTGAAGATTGGAAGACACCAGTCATGCTACTATTTGTTGGAACAACGGAGGTTAATCCTGAAGATGTCTGTTTACGTGCTTTGTACTGAAGGAACTCAATATAATCCGGTAAAGAAACCATCTGGATTGGATTCATTGCATTTAATCCAACGGATTGTGAGTTAAAGGCTTCAGGTACGAATTCCATTATAATATCGTGCCGGAAAAAGCAGAAAATTGTTGGGATCACTGTTCATGCCGGAAAAATCACTGTAGCTTGCCGGAAAAAACTCAAAGTGGTCGGAATTTGATTTGAACTAGATGGGTAGGCTCGGAATTGTGAGGAGAGCAAGCTGTCCTAAGGAATTTCGCGAAAAAGTGGCCGGAAACAGTGTCACGCGCCGGTGCGTGGGCGTCGGAGCTTCGCCGGAAAATTTCTTCCGACGGCGCGTGGGGGGTTTTCTGACGGAGAAATTCTTATGGGTTGGTCGCCGGAGGCCGATCTACTTCGTGGTGGTGTTGGTTTTTGCACAACACTGACGAAAAGTGGTTTTTTTTGTTACGGACAGCCTCTTAAGTCGCCGGAAAATTGCACGGCAACGAGGTCTTTCTTCCCGGAGGCCGCTGGAATGATGCACATCGATAATTTCTCACTGACGCTCTGATACCATGTGAGAAAGCACGGGAGAAAATATATTATTGACTAATATTGACAATGATACAATGAGCCATATATATATACAATACATGTCCTACTCCTAATACATATGGGATTAGGATTATTTACTACTATTTAGACAATGAAACTGACATAGTTATTGGCATGTTGTTACAATCACCATAAACATTCCATTATCACATTTAGCAAGTGCTTTGGAGATTGTTTATATACTTCTTATTTATGTAGGTTGTCAGCGAATACATGCATACTGCTTGCAGAGAGAAGTTACTCTTCCAAAAAAGTACAATCAGCCAAAAAAGACATTGTTATGAATTAAGATTTGCTACTTAAAGGGCAATTCATGGTAGAATTGTTGGTAGAATCTGGGTCTAATTTTAGATGGGTCATTTAGTTGTTCTGGCCTTTGGGCCTTATTATAGAGATGTGTTTGGGTTGCATTCCCTATTACTTTGTTCTTGTAAAAAAGGAATTTCATGTGGAAATATTATAGATTATGTTCACAGATAATGAGTTTCAAACTTCTGAAACATTACTTATCTGCACGTGGACTGGACCCCTATTGCAGATTTGAACAGGGGATTGTGAAAACTCTATGTAGGCACTCTTGAAGAGGGTGTATTAGCTATTCTTAGTTGTGCTAAATGCATGGTTTTCGAGAGTTAGCACTCCCTTTTAAGCTGCAGATTAACTGTTAAAACTTTTTAACCCAAGACTCGCCCTTCAGTTGTGTTGCACTATTTATAGGATTTATATATTCCTATGAAATGAGTTCAAGTCTGTGTAGGTGCAGTGAAGAGAGTCTTTTAACTATTGCCTGTTGCTAGGTAAGTGCCTGTTGGTGTTTCGAAGTTCACTAAAAATGCTTTAGTTTTCTATCTTAACTGTAGCAAGTGGCATCCATGTGTCAAAGAAACTGTAGCAAGTGGCATCTACGTATCAAAGAAACTGTAGCAAGTGGCATCTACTTATAAATTTTGTGTAGCAAGTGGCATATGAGCAAGTAATGTTCATTTGAACCCGGATCTTAGCACAATGAGAATAGTGATGCTTGAGCTTTCCTTACATAATCTAGTTAAGTGAATTTTACAGATAATTTCCCATAAGAAAATTGTAGTCTAGGTCTAATTTGTTGAATTTGTTTGTTCAAGCTACTTAATGGATGAACAGAAAGTTAAGTGCTTTCATTGGACACCGATACTTTTGTGATAGGTCATCTGCCTATGATGATTTTAATAGTACTCCAGTTTTCACTTATTATCAAGGAAAAGGTCCTTTTTTTTGTCCTTCTGGAAAAAATAAATAACAATGTAGTTTTAGTAGTACACTTGTATTAGCTGCTGAATTCTTGAAGGAAGTTTAAGTAGTTTTAACTCAGAAATATAGTTTAGGTTTTTTCCTTTTCTTCTCCCCTCCTCCCTATATGGAAAAGGATTTACATTATATATACACGTTTCACTTTGTCTTTTTTAGATGGGCGTTTCGCATTGTTTTATCGTCTAATTTTTTAACCAACATCGTTGTATTGCAGCAAATTAAGTGCTTGGATATGGGCTATCACCTGCTACCCTTAAGTTTGTTAAATGCAATAAACCAAATGAAACCTCTTGGCCTCTTTCTACTGTTGGAATGTTTTCCATCCTTCTATTCTGCTCTCTTTTTCTTTTTCACCTTTTCTTTAGCAGAAGCCTGTTTCTTTCTCTGCTCTTCATGTTTCTGCTGAGAGGCGGGTGGGAGTGGTGGGAAGAAGTAAATTGGCATGCTTATCCAACCGGTTCCTGGAATCTATTTGCTTCACAAGTTGTTAGCTGTTTCCTGACTAGGCATTTTGATTGTGTCACCTGTATGGATCACATCTTGAGTTGTCAAAAATTAGCAATCTATATAAATGTCTTTTAATTTGTTTCTGTTATGTTCCCAACTAATACGTGCTTTGGTTTGCTTATTCAGGGGGAGGAGGTTACATTTGACTACAATTATGTGCGCGTTTTCGGGGCTGCAGCGAAAAAATGTGTCTGTGGCTCGCCTCACTGTCGGGGCTATATAGGCGGCGACCTACTGAATGCAGAAGTCATAGTGCAGGATGATTCAGATGATGACTATCCTGAACCCATTGTTTTCTGCGAGGATGGTGACATGGGTGATGAACTAAACAACATTATATCTGCAAGAAGTTCATTTAATGTCGCAGAAATTAGAACTAAAGAAACACCTAAAAACAAATATAAACTGGATGAACCTGTTACTGGAAACCTGGAGAATTCCACCCAAACACACATAGGGGATATAATGGAACATGAAAATACCAAAGTGGCTAACTCTGCTGCTGTTTTTAGCTCTAAAATCAAGGAGGAAATCAACAAGTTCCATAATGAATCCCCTTCATCATCTCTGAAGAAGCTGGGATCATCTGAGGCAAAAGAGGGACTAGAAATCCTGTTGCATTCTTCAGTACGACCTGCAGGAAATTCCTTGCCTTCGGAAGATATGATCATTGAAACTATATCTGAAGTAAAAAAAGAGTGCTTAGATGCTGAAAAAGTTTCTTCTACACTGGACATGGCATTTCCATCTCCAAATGCAATGCTTAGCAAGTCTTTGAAGAAGAAATCAGGCAATGGAGGAGCAAGTAATGAATCGTCAACATCTTCTCGTCAATCATCTTCAGTTAAAAAGGGAAAATCTAAGAATAGTGCTGTGAATTTAACAGCACTATCTGATATGGACAACAAATTGCAAATTCCACAACCTAAATTCAGGAAACCACCTTATGATTCCTCAAATGCTCGTGCTGAAGCAGGTATATCATTTTTATCAAATTTGTGGTATCTGTAGATTTGGAAGTATCATTGAATAAACACTTGCACCTGAATTTGCAGTCGAAGAGAAACTTAATGAGTTGCTGGATCATGATGGCGGAATAAGCAAACGCAGGGTAAGTAGTTCCAAGCTACAGGATGTACTCTATATTGCCTGCTTTTCTTCTTCTCAGTGATCGAAGTAATGGCTGCTTTGTTTATTCGAGGTTCTGTTTCTAGTGCTTAGGTCACGAATTTTGGAAAAAAACTAATCATTCTGGAAGTCTGTTTTTTTCCTTCTGGAGTGCACATTTCCCCAGCTTTCTGTCCATCCTTCCACTGCACTTTGGTGTGGCCTCTTTGTTGTGTATTAATGAAAAACCATAGACAAAATTGTGAAGGAGGCCTGTAGGGTGCTCATAGAAGGGGGTGAAAGTAGGTTTATGATTTGGCATCTTTATTTTTTTGCTAACGATGGTTTGGCACTTGAGATAGGTTTAGTAACGTGTCCATTTTAGGTCTTTGTCCTCTTTACAGTGTCGCTTATGCTATGCTTAATGTACGCGATTAATGATAGGTCACTCTATATTCGAATATGTCCTTTAAACTTATTTTTTTTCCCCAACCAGGATGCATCTAGGTGCTACTTGAAGCTCCTCCTTTTAACTGCTGCTTCAGGAGATAGCTGCAATGGTGAAGCTATTCAGAGGTAATAAATGGATTTCCTATTGGAAACTCTTTCAGGTGCTAGAAGTTGCTTAGTGGTGATACCTTTTGTTCATTAATCTGTTTCTCTTCCTCCTCCTTCTTCTTCTTCTTCTTTAATATATCTTTTTGTGCAGTAACCGGGATCTCTCAATGATCCTTGATGCGCTTTTGAAGACCAAGTCGCGCACTGTTTTGGTGGATATTATTAATAAGAATGGTAGTGATGTGGTGCATGCATGCTTCAACCCCCCCCCCCCCCCCCTAAAAAAAAAAATAGATTACTGATTATTTCCTTGCTTGTTAGGTTTGCAGATGTTACACAACATAATGAAACGATACCGGAGGGAATTCAATAAGATCCCAATTCTCAGAAAGTTGCTTAAGGTAACTTCTTTAGAATTCTGCAGTCCTAGTAATTAAATGTACTGAACTGATGAACATGCTGTTTTAGCAGTACCAAATTTTGAGAGGCTGCGGAGAAAACTTTTTAACTGTTAGTTAATCTTGATGGAATTGGTGTGAGCAAAAGTTTAAGTCTCTTGAAAATGTATTCATTCACCATGCAGCCTCTTTAGATGTCAGTCTTATGTGCATATAAGTTCATATATGATGAAGCATCGAAGAGCCACCATAACAATTTAGGATATGCAATTAAGCACTGTATCTGTAGCTTCATTAGGTCACACTCTTCCAAAAGGGGAGGACAGAATTGTTTCTAGCATTTTATTTGGACTAAATTACTTTTGCTCAGAGTGTTCTTTGTAGAAATACTCAGTAGACTCGATGTGGCTTGAAGATGTATTCATTAACCATGCAGCCTCTTTGGATGTCAATCTTATGTGCATATAAGTTCATATATGATGAAGCATTGAATAGCCAGCATAACAATTGAGGATATGTAATTGAGCATTGTACCCGTAGCTTCATTAGATCACATTCTTCCAGAAGGGGAGGACAGAATTGATTCTAGCATTTTATATGGACGTGTCTGTTAAGATTTATCAAGCTTTTTTGCCCCATAATATGTCAACTGTTGTCCTTTTGACAGGTTTTAGAGTATCTGGCTGTTAGAGAGATTCTTTCGCATGAGCACATTAACGGAGGTCCCTCTAGACCCGGAGTAGAGAGGTCGGTATATACTGTTGGATTTCACTTACATGGACTTTTTCACCTTTTGTCTTGATCTTTTGATTGGATGTTTTGCTTGTAGACTGCTGTTTTTTCAACGTACTCTATATCTATTACTGCACTGTTAGGGATTAAAGTAACTCCAGTTTAAACCTTACATGAATAACAGTATGAACAAAAAGCACAAAAATTCAACTAGACACTGCATAAATTGTTCTCTTATATAGTTTTAAAAAATGGAAAGAGATAAAAGCAGGATGACAACAGAACTCACTAGATCGGAGATTCTAAATTTTCAAGGAGTTACCACTTGGATTGTTTATTAATTTTAAATTGGCGATGAACTGCTAAAATTGCATGTCTCACCCTTTGCTATGTTATGCTCCTATTTGCAATAAACCTTAAGATGTCCATTCCCTCTCACCTGATTTCCCCATAAATTGGAAAAGAAAAGAAAAAAACAAAGAAGTGTTTCATAGTTGCAGCGTTGTTAAAAGCCATTGCATGATGAACCCTTGCAGTGCGAGGGCTTATCACTTCATAGGTGAAGCCATGTGCTTCAACAAAGTCCGATTCAAACAATGACGTGCAAAGTGATCCAAAAACGATTGCTACTTGAATCTCAACATTGAGCAATTGTAATAACATTGGCATTATTATATGTTGGAATTTGGATGACGAAATGGTTATTTCAGTTATATTTCTATTTTTATAGTGCTAAATTTAGATGTTTAATATTTTTAAATGCTCCGTGAGTTGTGCGCTTCACTTCTAGCTTTTCACTTCAAGTCCCATGAACCTTGTCGGTTTTCTGCATTGTTCGCTTTTAAAAACACTGTAATAGTTGACTTAAGTATTTAATCTGAAAATACTCACCAATCCCCAAGGAATAAAAATAGCAATTTTCGAGTTAAACATGTAGATAAATGATTTTGTATCTGGACTGCTTATATTGGTCCGTCTCATGGAAACAACTCGTTCTTCCTCTGAATGAATTCGTATTTCTATCTACTCTTTTTTTGGCCGGGGGGGGGGGGGGGGAGGATTTACTTTGATCCCTCCCACGTGCATGTTAATTTTGTCCGTGAAACGAGAGGAAAGCAGCGGGAAGACTCTTGTTGAATAGGTAATTGGTGTCATAGGCTATGTATAATAATGTAAACAATTATTCTCCGACAGCTTTTGCCCAAAAATATCTCCTACCGTACATAAAGTTATAGAATTATCTATGTGGATATTCTACCAAATATTTTCTGCTCACGATCGATAAATCTAGATATATTGTAAATCTACTGGAATTTTAAAATATAACTCCATTAAACCTCTTGAGTTTCAGCATGCCCCTCAAACTCAAGGTGGTGAAGCATGTGGCACTGATAATTGGAGGATGATGTGGTAGTAGACTAGAAAGTGGCATGGTGGTGTTGGGTGGACATTAATGTCCATTGAACGATAATCTGGCAACGGCTGAAATAATGTGGACTGTGGATTTGACAGGTTAACAGTCTTAGATTGTTATTCTAGACAAGTTAGCTGTGGGCTGGTAACTCAGCTTTTTATAGTATCATGTCACTGGATTGTGACACTGACGTGTTTTTACCAGCAAATTGGAGAATGTTGGTTTGACTGACTGATCAACATGCATACACTACTAACTTGATAGGTCAGCTATCCAGTGCTACTTTGAAAGGTTTGCTAACATGAACTGTGAATCAGTCGAAAAAAAATATATGAATATTGAAAGGTGAATATGCTGAGCTAGATAGGTCTGCTAACATTGAAACGTGGAAAAAAAGTGAATGTGCTGCATGTGTCTCATGAATAATGACCAGAAGAGGATTAACCTGAAGAAATTGGAATAGTTGTCGGGCATCGGAATTGTGGATGACATTCACTGAAAAAAGGCGTAGTTTGAACAAGAATACTAACACTAGGAAACGAGAAAACTAGGCCAGCAAGTGACATAAAGTGCTCTGCGATAGGCAAAGTTATCAAGTCTCTGATAGAAGCTCTTATACCATGTGAGACAAGAGAAAAGAAGGGAAAAACTCTTTGCTGAGTTGCTTGTTTGGCAATTAATAGGGCTCCCTATATAGTCATACATACGTACAATAAATTATATGATTTTCTCAAGTTACAATTAAAGTAATCTCCTATGTTAAGTACAAAATATTCTAGAGTACCTACAGAATCTAGTAGTAGTATTCTTGGTGGTATATTGCAATAGTATCTTCAGCTATAGTTTCAATGAAGTATAACTTATTATTTCTCTTGATGTACAATAGTGCTTTGACCTTGGATAACATATTATGAATCTTCTCAATTCAAGTCATTCATGCAACGCATTTTTCAGAGTCGCAGAGCATAAAATCTCTTCAAATGCTGACTGCTAAGATAATATTGCTTCTTTCTTCTTGGACACTTCTTATTGTTAACCTCCTTTTGCATTTGATGTATATTCTATTCCATTTTTGTGCTTACTTTATGAAGTGAAAACTTGAGATTTTGAAGACGCTTTTGTTACTCTTGCAGCTTTAGGGACTCAATTTTGCGATTGACAGATCACACAGACAAACAGGTAATCTATTCTTGCCTTCTGCACCGTATCAGTTCATCAAGTGGTTAAATGGTAATATCAATTATTCTAACAAAATATATTCAGTTTATTAACTCTTTTGTATTGCGCTCCCCCCCCCCCCCCCCCCCCCTCTTATTATTCTTGCTTTTCCGTGTGAGTTGAAATGCTTCCCATTTTGTGCTCGCGTGATGATTGGAGAGACCTATGGTGTATGATGTATGTGAAGAAAAAAGACTGATTTCTTGCCTAATTAACATTATAATCTGTACAAAAGTTAATATCGAAATGAGGTGAATATAATAAGAACCAAGAGTGTGGTCTAGTGGTCAATGAAGTGGGTTAAGAACCATGAGGTCTCAGGTTCAAATCCCAGCGGAGGCAAAAACTAGGCGATTTTTCTCATCTATCCAAGCCTAGGTGGACAAAATTTTCCCGTAAATTTGCTAGTGGGAGGTAGCAGATAAGCCCTGGAATTAGTTGAGGCGCGCGCAAGCTGGCCCAGACACCATGCTTATCCCAAAAAAAGGTGAATACAAAGGGGAGGGCACATATGACCAATGCTACCACTTGTTATCCGTCTGCGAAAATCTTTAGAAACTGTAGACCAAAACCTAGATAGTACTCAGGGGGAAGCATGCATAAGCCTATATTCTTTGTTCATCACCTTGTTTCAAGGGAGGTGACAGATATGAGATGCCTTACACCCTAGACAAGATTGCACCCATACTGTGTGGTGAGCTTGCTTTGTTTTTAAGTTGTCACAAATAACTGAGGCTACCGATGACCGATTCTCTAGTACAAGTTATGATTGAAAATATCTTGTTTATGTTAAAAAAAAGGTGCATTTGGTGATGAGTAATTTGTTTACTGAAGAAAGTGTGATAATACTTCGCAAGTACTTTAATGAGAATTAGGGGGAGGGGAAGAGGCAACTCTGGCTTTTCCAGATTGAGCATTCTCCCAGAGCTGCCCCAAAAATTAATGGAGTGGTTGACAGAGAAAGAGAACTAGTTTAGAGAAAAGGATAGCCCCTTATCTTTCATGTCAATATTGATGAACAATATTTCCATTGTTGATCTTAGTTAGAGAAAAATTTCGTTATTAGAACTTGATTAAGGAGATCAAGCTAACTTGGAATGGAGTCTTGGCTTTTCCAAAAATAGAAGGAAATTTCTAGAAAACGTGGAGACAATGGAAAGTAATCTCCTATGTTAAGTACAAAATATTCTAGAGTACCTACAGAATCTGGTAGTAGTATTCTTGGTGGTATATTGCAATAGTATCTTCAGCTAGATCTATATTTTTATGTGAAGCGCTCTAGGTGCTTCTATAGAGATTACATGCATATCACAATTGATTCTACTTTTTCCTTGGATCTTCCGTTGTTCTGCTAGTCTGATTACTACCATGAAAATGATTTTTTACGTGCTTGCAATGTTTCTGTTTTATTTTTTGGGGGCTAATTCTAGTCTTTGAATCATCGGTAGCCTGAGATGGTGGTCTTGGTTTCATGTATATCACCATTGTGCCATAATTTTTTTGACAATAGTCTAATTGATTTACTGTGTTTACGGTGTCTCAGGTTCATCAAATTGCAAGGAACTTCAGAGATAGGTGGATACCTAGACCTCCCAGAAAAAGTAGCTGCATTGACAGAGATGACAGCCAGATTGAGCATCCTTCTCCACTGTACAATAGGTGTACACCATTACAAGACCATCGTGGTGATTGGAGTATGAAACCTTCAGAAACAGAAGAATGTACCTGCCATATAATGGTAGAATCTACTACAGCAGGTGCTGGTATCCTTGATGGCTCATCTACTTCATGTGTTGTTGGGGCACCCAATGGGGCAAGGAAACGTAAGCGTAAGAGTCGATGGGATCAGGAGGCAGAATCAAGTTTAGATCAAAGAACTGAAACCAATATGGCTGATGATCGAACACAGGACATAAATGATGCCCCCCCTGGATTTTCAGTCCCCATGAAGGCCTCTAGAGTCTCATGTGGTGTTTCCTCAGGTGCAGCTTGTAGTCTACAAGAACATAGTTGCAAGAAGCATCCACATCCAATGGTCACAGGGTATTTGCAGCAGAGGTTTATTTCAAGATTGCCAGTCTCTTATGGAATTCCATTTTCCAAAGTGCAGCAGTTTGGGTCATTTCAAAAAGAAAGACGTGATGTTTGGGATGTTGCCCCAGGAGTACCTTTCCATCCTTTTCCTCCTTTGCCGACATATCCCCGTGATAGAAGAGATTCCACGTCTTCTGCTGCTAGTGCTGGAATTTTTAGCGAGCCATCTCAAAATGCTGGACAAGATCGCCATTCTTGTTCTCCGGGCCACTCTGCTCATAATCCTCCATGCCTATCCGGGGCAAACCTCCCGCAAGACGATGCAAATACCCAATTTGGTTTTGAACGAACTGGGGGCTATCATAATTTGGGAAGGAAATATTTTCGGCAGCAAAAGTGTATTAACTCAAAAAGGCCTCCTTGGGGAAGAAGTGGCTGGGGGTGCACAGGAAAGAACTTAAAAGATAGTATGTGCAGTGTAGGTGTAGCAAGCAAAGAGAATGAATCTAGGAGTTCCCATAACCCTAAAATGGAGAATTTGGGGCATACTTATCAACAGAATCATTCACAACAGAGATAGCTTTAACTTCATAGGCAAAAGACCTCAGGAGCCTCCAAGTTTTTCTCCAGTGCTCCTTTGTACTTGTATTCTTTGCCACCAACTGAATTGTAAAGCACTTATTCCCTTTTATTTGTTAAGGTTAAGGATAAAAAGATACTCTGATACGACGATGTGCTGCATTGGCAATATCATTATTCATGCCTTACAGAGGTACCCTTCCTAATTCTTTTTATTATTACTTGATGGGAAGTACTGTCAGAGAAAATTGATTTATTTATGTTGCTACAGTGTAATTGTTGCTGTAGTTTTGTTGAAATGTATGTTCTTTACACTGAAAACTGATCCTGCTACAGGCATTTTAGTAGTATAATCTCAGTTGCAGTGCTTTCTTTTTCTTCTTTTACTCATTCTAATGCTACAAATGTGGGTTACACTAGTAAAAGGGGGAAAGATCTCCTTTTAGATTGTTCCTTCAACCTGTACTTGCAGCTGGGCTAACTTGATTAGATATTGTTCTTTCATGCATCCTTGATGAAGAGCACCAGGTAGATAAAACCTTCGATGAAGTGCACTAGTCAGCATGTCAAGATGTTTCTATATTTGCTATAACTTGATACGACCAGAATATTATAGTCCATAGTGGCTACGTACGTAGCTCCATAAACTTACACAAAAATTGCTCTAGGCATGGCTCCACCAATTTTCAGGCATTCTTCACGATGTTCGAAGAAGTCAAAACTGTCTACATGTTATAGCAAAGAAGAATATTATAATCTCAACAATGAGCAAACTTTTGACTTCTCATATCTATTAACAATTGCAAAGAACTTTCTTTTCTCCGCTACAACAAAGTGCAAATAGAAACAACGCAAAATGTTAGATCATCTTAACAATTATTGCCGTTACACTATCCACCCCCCCCCCCCCCCCCCAAACCCGATAGTAAACTGGACAACAAGAAAAGAGTTTAGCTGCACTATTCAAGTGATTTTCCCCTCTGACCTGCACATTGAGCTCTCAATATTTTCGCAGCATACTTCTGATACGGATGAAACACCATGTTTTCAGCAATGTTTTCCGTCTTCTCCATCCATCAAAGTATCTGCCAATCACCTTCTTATAACTAGGTCTCTGCTTAACCAACATCCAATAATCTGCAGTGTTTGGACGACTGTTTATGTACTCGTCTTCCAAATTCAAGAGTTCTAATCTAGCCAGAACAGGAATGAGCACTACATCAGCCAGACTGAACTCTTCCCCGGCTAGATATGATGTTTCACCAAGTTTAACTTCTACCTCATCAAGAAGCCTTACTAGATGATCCTCACTTCGTCTCAAAACGTCAGCATTCTTCAACTTGTCGTCCGTATCATATGCCTCTCTTAACTTACAGTGGTAAGCACTTGCCAAGTCAGGAGACTCAGCCATTCGGGCAATTATTACACGTCTCAGGAATTTCGAAACGTATAACCGATACTTCTCAGGGACATGGAAAAGGGTAAAGTACATTGAGTCCCATTCTTGTATTTTATGCATCCATTCAACAACTTCTCTGCTGCTGAGGTTCAGATTGTTTCCACCAGAAGACACTTTTTCTGCAATTCTTTCAATATACCTGTGCATGATGAAACAGTTTAATACTCTTCCACTACAAATCTCAGTAAAAGAATCGGAAAATAAGAAAATACAAACTACATATGTTTAATGACAATAGGAAGCACAAGTCCATTTTAACTGTTCATGCTTAGAATTTTGTATTACTAGGAGAAAAGTGTAGCAAGGTGAAGAGAAGACTTACTGAATGATCTCAACTGTATCATATATGATGTGAGAACCATTCTGGAACACAGGAATTTTTGCACTTGGATTCATAGTGAAGAAAAATGCGTCCATGTTCTTGCCCGTTAAAGGGTTCACATGATGCGACGTGTAATCAATGCCTTTCTCTTCCAAAGTAAGTCTCACCTTCTGACTGTCCAAGGACAAAGGATGATGATATAACTGCATGGTCTCGTAAACATAGAACGCCAAGAATGTTACACCTGCACCTGATTACAACAAAATCATCTGTTAAACAACCTCAATGTCTTAACTTTCTCTAAAACTGAAAGACAACAAAAATAATCTCCTAGCAGAAGTTAGTAATTCTGTCTAAGCCAAGTTAATACATGTGAGTTCAATAGGCAGATGCAACCACAGGTACATAGATAACATATCAAGCGACACAGAGAAAACTGACTTTGACAATTCCTATGAAGAAAATGGGAAGACAACTGAGATCATAAAGTATGTCTGCAAACCACATAACTCATGTTGACTAATTCTGAAATTTCCTACGAATACGCTTACTTGTTTATTTGATCTGATAACTAATGACAAGGCATTCTGCAATTAACTCACAGCAAAACAGGATATCTAAACTTCATAATTTATTGTCACATTCTCAATCTACAACTTTAAGATAACTCTCTAATTTCTACCTATAAGCAAAACTGATGCCACAAAGATGGATACACTAAGCTATTATAATTAAAAATCACTATTTCAATTTTAATTTTTTTTAATTTCTAGTACATAGGGAAAGAGGAAGGGAAGAGGGAAAGGGACAGTGAGAATGAACCCACAACTATTGTGTAATAAAAAAGTTCAAATCAGTATCACTAAACAATCAGCTTGAATAAAAATCAGAATTCAATTATCAGAACCCACAATTTCCAGAAACTAATAGAGGAATCACAACATAAACCAATAAATTAGTAAACTTAACCAATTGAATCACCATAAAAAGAAGAACTTTTGAAGGATTAAAACAAAAAGTAGCAAAAAGAAACAGAAACAGAACATACCAAAGAAACCTTATGGGATCCAGTAGAAAATTCAAGACTCAAAATTTGGAAAAAAACCTCAGTCGATTTTAGAGAATTGGGGTCACAAAGAAAAAGAGGACAAACTCTATGAAGAAAGCATAAAAGGGGTTTATGCCTTTCTGTGGAGAGAGAGTGTATGGAAAAAGGTTCTGTGAAAGAATTTGACAACTAAGAAAAGCAGTTTTTCGAGTTACTTTTTTTTTCTTGGTTTTTTATGTTCTTGTTTATTTAATTAGTACTGGTTCGATTCCCCAACCTATTTTCTTTTCTATATGTTCCAAAAAAGATAATTCATTTTTAAATTTGAAAATAATTTAGTTTAAACTTTTAATTTTATCCTTAATAGAAGCTTTTATAATCATACAAATATTGACCCACTTTTTGACTTGTTTAGGATAACAAATTCAAAAAAAAAATTATTTTTTCTTATACTTCGTGTCCAGTCAAACGAGTTTACATAAATTGAAACGGAGGGAGTAATTTTTTCAAGTATGATTTTATCAGTTTTAGTGAAAAAGGTGTGAAAAGAGAGAGAGTAAAATAGATACTATCAAAAGTTCTAGCTTTAAATATGCAATCCTTTACCCCTCTCACTTTTTAATTGTTTGTATAAATATTTGTTGTATAAAAATAGAGACTTGCTTTATCCGTCAGCCACGCAGAAGGGTGTGATATGTGAGGAAACTACTACTTGTCGGATTTGGCAAATTCTTCCTTTACAGGTTTTGAACAAAACTTAACCCAAAGAGTTCACATGTGAATCAGATCTACGTAAGTATAACTAATTTCTATAGAGTCAAACAAGAAGATTTGTCAAATTTTATACACAAAGTTCTCGTATAACTTGTCTTGTCTGAAGGAGCAAAAAAGATTTTAATATTGAAAATTCATTGCCTTGGGCATATGACTTCATTTTTAGTGGTCATAACTCTTGGTGTAACTCTTAATGACAATTGCTTTACTACTTACTAGCTGTTAAAAATTTAGAGTAAATCACTTTATCCTCTTAGCCTTTAATAATTAGGAAATAATACCCCTTCGCAGCTCCGTCTTTTGAATGGATTTACAACCCCTTGAACAATATTTTTCACTGAGCTTTAAAATTATTTTCCAACCATTAAGAAAGAGGAGCACAAAATTCTGGTGGATGTTTATATTTGTTATACTTTAAATGACACTAAGAAGCCGCTTTGAGCACTCCTATTTGAAATATATTTAGTAAATTATTTAAAGTCATTGTCATTTAAATATTTTTTAATTTTTTTTACTCTTCACCAAGAGCACCACTTTGCTTATTAGGTGATTCAAAACTGTAACCTCACCACTTGAGCAACTCTCTTTTAGATTCAAATTTACGGTCTGAACTAGAACTACATTTAAATATTATCTCTCGTTTTGACAGCAGTAAGAAAGTGTTTCCCTTTTTATTTAATGAATCGAGTGTGGACAAAAATACTATTCAATTAAATCACCAGCTCTTAAATATTCGCTCAACAACACCTTACACTTATAGAGGTCGAATCAGAATTTCAACTTGATGAGTTAACTTGTTATGATTTTATCATTGAATCTATTGCACTTTTAAAATTATGAGTTTAAAATATACAAAAACGACAAAAAAAAATCAGCATATCCCACAAATAAAGGGTCTGGGAGGGTATTATATTGTCGCAATCCGAAATTCCCACCGTCGGAATCGTGATGGCGCCTAACATTTCACTTGCCAGGCAAGCCAACGTTAGAACAATTTACTTCTTTTAACAGTTTAAGCGATAACATTGATAACAAACTGAAATAACAGATATGTTCTAAGTATAAATGTGGAAGTTAAACAACTAAACGTCTATTACAATTTCCTAAACCTGGTGTCACAAGTGCACGAGCTTCTAAAGTAATACACATAAGAGTCTGAAATAAGTACAAGCTGTCTGAATGAAGTTATACAGCTAAAAAGAAAAGAGGATGGGGACTCCAGGAGCTACGGGCGCTGAACAGCTGTACCTCAAGTCTCCGACAATGTACCAACTCCAAAATCTGCACAGTGTGAAGAGTGTAGTATCAGTACAACCGACCCATGTACTGGTAAATGCCGAGCCTAACCTCAACGAAGTACTGACGAGGCTAAGGCGGGTCACCTATACTAAAACCTGTACGCAATATATAATAATGACAGAATAATTGAAATGTAGTACAGAATTAAACAGCTAATAAGAAATGATAACCACAGCCTCAAAAATAAACCAGTGTCGTCCACAATTTACCAATCTTTACCGGTTCAACAAAATATTGGAAAAACAACGTAGCTCAAGAAATAGAAACATATAGGTTGTTGCGGCACGCAACCCGATCCCACCAGACAACACATAGTCCTCCCTTATTCCATCATAACAATATCAACAACAATAAATAATATATAGTTATTGCAGCGCGCAACCCGTTCCCACCATATATCAATATCAATATCTTAATTTCACCTTTATTTCACCATACCAATCCACCCTTATTCCACCCGTTGCGGCGTGCAACCCGATCCCAC